TGAGCTGACTGGAAGTTATTAAATTCACTTGACAAGTAGATGTTTTCCCCGATACATCAAGTGACATAGCAATGGGAAATATTACCAAGTTGAAAATTTTGGGTTGTATAAAGAACAGGGATAGTCCCTGCAGCATTGCTTGTGATTTAAAAAAAAGAAAAAAAAACATTGGGACTTGCTCCTGTCCATAGGCACTAATGAGCAATTAAATAAGTTATGGTTACATTCACAGATGACATATCATGCAGCCATTCTTAAAGCAGGCAGCTTGACCCAGGACACTCTCCTAGTTTAATATGGTTAGGTGAAGAAAAAAAAAAAAGTCGACTGTCTGTTTTCTAAAAATTCGAATGTGTAGAGTATAGCATATTTTGGATGATTATGTAAATTGGGAGATTTAAAACTATTTGCACTTAAGTGTCTTTGTGTGTTAAAAACACAGGGAGTTCCCTATCTAAATTTTTTTCAGACACTCCCCTTCCCCACACAAGAAATAATTTGTCCTCGGCCCAGCTCTGCTATTTTGAGCTGGTGGTGATTGTGCTGGGAAAGGGGTACAGATTTCTCTTCCCCCTCTTTCCACGGGTTGGGGGGGCGGGGGCGGGGCACAGCAGCAGCACGCGGCCAGGGAGACAGGAGGAGCCCCTGCCTTGGGTTGGGACTCGGTATTCAGTGTACGTTCCATAAATCAAGTAAAGCTTGGTTTTGATGTTATTGAATAGACTTCGCTTTGTGGCTGGACTTCACTCCTTGAACTTGGCTTACCCACTTTTAGAGAGGAGAGCCTGCCCAGTGGCACACACTGATAAGGCTTCTGGTTGTCACCAGTCATTCTTCATTCACTCCGTTTCTATCGTGGGAAACTTAAGGAGAAGCCCTTTTGGGTGGGTGGGGACCTCTTTCTGTCTGAGCCGGAGTTTGTGGGAGGCCAGATGTCGTCCCCAGTCATTTTAAGCGATAACTGTGAGGCGGGCGGGGGGGGGGGGGGGGGAATCTCCAAGGTAACTTTAACAGCGGTCCATAGATTGTGTTTCATCTGTGGGGTATTTTGCCTACGAGAGGCCCGTCCGTCCTCTGCGCTTGCATTCTTCACTGATGGGGGCAGTTGTGTTTGAAACTAGAAGCTCGTTCTTACAGATGTGCGGGGTGGACGGATTCCTTGTTGGATCGCAGGTATTGGAAAAAGTAGGTTGTGTAAAGCGCGCGCACACACACACAGTCTTATTCGTTAACAAAGCCCTTTATTTAAGCTCTGGCTAAGGTAAACCTGCCTGCTTGGTATTTTTATTTATTTATTTTTTCTTTAACCTCCCCCTTCCTCTCCTGCAGGGCCCGCATTCCTAGGTCTTTGTCTCTGCCTGGTATTTTAGAAATTTTGGGAGAGGAAGGCAGTGGGTGGGGCCTCCTGGAAGCTGGGGGCAGGGAAGAGGGTGGTCACTTGCGAGGTCAGAGGTCGAGCCTGCTCCATTCAGCTGGGGCAGCCAGATTGTCGCCATGCAGGGGCGGGAGGAGGTGGGGGTGGGGGCGTGTCTGTGCATCTGCCCGGGAAGCCCCAAACAGGCAGCCCCAGGCCCTGGAATTCCTCCCACCAGAGGCCTGCTCTCCACCCCCCCCACCCCCCCT